ACATGAAGTCATTATCATGGACGGATCTACAAACTCAACCTCATAAGACAGATCCAGGATTTGAACTTTATGGTTTTGAGTCCAGCATTCTACCAAAACTCATTTGATTTACTGGGAATCAATTATTTGTACTTATTTAGTGAACTTTTTAACAAGCCAACGTTGCTGGGTTCGGATGAATCCATAACTTACACTTTACATCTGCCCATGACATTTAGTATCCTAAAATAAATAATAATAATAATAATAACAACAACAACAACAACAACAACAACAACAACAACAACAATATTATTTGCACAGCTACACTGCATTCATGGCTTAAGCTCCTCGATCTCATGTTATGCACGGAAGTATAATGAATTTTTACATCATCAGTCTTACTTAACAGTTATAACAAGTTACAGATTAGCAATCAATGCTATTAAATAGAGTTACATGTAATAACCTTTTTTAAGTATCTATTGTGCAAATATTTTTTACACCGTCAATGCACAAAAGTAAACTCATAATTAGAACGTCTAATTCATCATTAAGCAAAATGCAGTACCTTTAATCGATGATTAACAGCGGGATGAATATCAATATGTCCATCACCACTAGCTTCATCATCACCATCATACTTCTCGCTCTCTCTCTTCACGTACTTCTCATGATCCGACAACGCCACATTGAAATCAAACGCCTCATTCCTTTCCCCAAAACCTAACCCTACGAACGCGTGTTTCCCCCTGCCGTCCTCGATCTTCAACACGAAGTACCTTGACGAATCGAGCACCGATTCCACCGAATTCTCCCTCTGTCCAGGCGGCACGAAACAAGCAGCGAACAGCTCGCCGGAATTCGGATCCTCTAATCGGATCTCGCACCGGTCTTTACAGGACACGACCCGGAGTCGACCCGACCAGATCTTATCAGTTTGAAGCCACTCGCCGCATTTGTACCCGCCGCTTGTTGGACGTGGAGGGATTTTGTATACATTTACTTCACGCACTACTAAGAGCGTGTGCTCCAACGATTCCTCTTCGTCTTCAAACGACATCGTTTTTCTGAGCAATGTGGAATTCAAGCTTGAAGTGAAGAAGGAAGAGATTTGAATATATATATAGAAAAGAAAAGGTGGGAAATGGTGAAGAAAAGACGTGGATTCTAAGCGTGTTAAGGATGTTGAGATGTCAACTACAAAAGGTGGCAACACACTTTTTGAAAATTTATAATATTTTAAAAAGGTAAAGTTGGGTATATGAATTTTCTCATTTTAGTTTAAACTCAAACTCATATCATTACCATACTAATAAAAATAAAAATAAATTATATAATTAAATAACAATAAATATACTACTAATAAATTTAAAAGTTCTCCACAAGAGTAAAATATATTCTCAACTAATAAATATTATACATGTGGATTTTTTTCTTTCATTATGCCATATTTTAGCTATATTTTGATTACAGAAAATTATAAATCTCTCGAAATAACTTTTTTCAATTGATTTTAGGTTTACCCTGGCCATTTAACACCTTCACTCATCATAATTTTACACATACGGACTGGTGCATTCATAAGTAGAAGCAGAACATGACCAAACTCATCTCAAGCGACCCTCTTTCATTTTATCCTCAATGCTTAATACTTGCACCTTCTGGCAGATGTGATCATTTTAAATCTGATCTAATGTTGTATTTTTGTAATACTCATCTAGTAGATATATCAAACTTTATCGGCCCAACATTCAACATTCACTACTAAAACGATGTGAGACTCGATGAAACCTAAAAAAAATACTAATAAAAATACTATTCATGTATATTTTATTATTATTTTTATTTAATATTTTAATTTATCTCTCTATATATACCTAATTATGTTTATGTAATATCTTTATAATATTAGTTTTACATCTTAATTTTGGCGTATAATTTTGATAAATTAATTTTCGTGTATTTATTATTTTTATATAAATTTTTAATTAATTTTATTATAAGTTATAATTGTACAAAAAATATATAATCATCTCGAAAAATGAATGGTGCAAATATAAAATATTAGATTATGCTAAAATAGAAAGGTACGAATATAAAATATTAGATGTTGCTAAAATTGAAAAGTGAAAATTAAAAATACATTAAAATTGGAAATACGTGACAATTGAAAATACATTAAATTAAAATACATAAAAATTGAAACTACGGTAAATAGCATAATAACTTAGTAGGGAGGTATGTCGTTTCCAGATACACCAAAATTATTATATATTATGAATATGTAAAAAAGAAAAAAAGATAGATTTTATTTAATAGAAATAAGAAAATAAAATTTAAATAAAAGATAATAATATAATACTGAAGAGAGAGAAGAATATAAAATAAAATATATTTTTTGTATTAAAAAATAGAGTAATGTGTTTACCTCGAATACGAGTAACAATTAAATTTGATTTGTGGTTTTAAAGATACGTGATTTAGTTCAATACCAATTAATAATCAAGAAGTATAAAGTAGAAATGAAAGAGAAAAGTGATTCAAACCAATGTTACTCAGCAACAGTGACCTCGAGCTCAGGGACCTCAAGGTAAGCTTGGTATAATAAGAACAATAATATAAGTAGGAACAATAGAGCTAAAGGACAATGCNTTCATCTCTGTCACTGACTTACACCTCCGACTCCCAAAAACACTTTGCTAAGGTTTTAATTTCTCAAAAACCCTTAAGACTGTAATCTTTTTTCTTCATATCCAAATGGGTTTTTGTATTTTTCATTTTTACATGCTATTTAATACCCTTTTGTTTTTGCCGTTTTTTTTTTTTAGACAGGTGAAGAGATAAGCAAAGATGTATCTCCAGTTTTATATTAACGAAAATGGTGACAAAGTACCACTAAGGTATGAATTCTTGAAAATTTCGTCTTTTTTAAGCATCTTATTCAGCATATGATTTCCCTTTTCCTTTATGATTTTGACTGTGTTATAGGAAGTGAATAGTGAATTATGCAAATGTTTATATTTTTCCTACTTATGTAATTGTGGGCATGTTTTTTTTTTGGGTTTAATCATCACGTAACAACTGGCTCGACTAATCCGGATTCGCGGGGCGTAGGCCTCATTTAAGGGGGAAACACATCCTAGGAGTCATTTTTCCATTTCTAGGTATCGTACCCAAGACATCTAGTAATAAGTGGCGGAACCAGGAATTTGTGCAAGCGGGTTCAATCTTAGAAATACATAACTTAAGTCGTAAAATAGTAGTTGTCAAATGGGTTCAAATAAAATATTTATACAAAATTTACGCAGCTTTAATCGTAATTTATACGTATACACAATATTATTTTTTGATGAAGCCGGTTCAGTTGAACCGGCTTGCCACCACGTGCGTCCGCCACTGCTAGTAATTGCTTTTTGTGGGTGTGGGGCTGGACGCAGGGGCGTAACTAGAGTGCCAGGAGTGGGTTCGGCCGAACCCATTAGCTTTGGTTCGAACCTTGTATTTGCTTTAAAAAAAATCCATTGAATATGTGTAAATTATTACTTTAGAATCTAGTAACTTAAAATGATTGGAATCCCGAATCCATAAACTTAAAATCTTGGCTCCGCCTCTGGGCCGGAGGATGAAGGCTTCTTCTTTTTGTTTGAATTTATCTCCTAATTTTGAAGTAGTGTTTGCATATTGAAAAAATACATAAAAAAGAACTATAAAGGAAAATTTTCATGGTCAAACTATATTCAAATACTATTGGAAATATGGCAGTTAAAGAAAAAAGTTGTTGATCTCTAAACAGTAAGAATGCCATTCATTCTTGGACGGAGGGAATAGTTTAATATACTTTTGTTCATTATTTTTTTTTTGATGACCGAAAAATCCGTCTGGGGCCGATCTTTTGGACCAACCGCAACCTTCGAAACTCGGTGGATAATGGGCCCGCCCCTCTACCCTTCTCCACTTAAATACCAGGCTTTCCTTTGCATGGTGTGGGGGCTTGAACCTGTGACTTAAGACACAAATCCGCCACCCTTTGCCACTTTGAGCTACGCCCTGGGGGCTATACTTTTGTTCATTATTATTTTTCAGTTGTTACTAATTTAAGATTGTTGGCCTTGTTGTAATGTATTAAAAGAAATATAACTCAACCCCTCAAAGCAACTTCTTTGCTCGCTGTTAGCTAATTTACAATCTCTCTTAACATTTTAAGAATGTTAGTTGGTTATGAATCGCAGATGATCAAACATCAAATAGCAAGCAAGTATGATAGCTTCCTGAAAACATTTCGCTGCTTTTACTAAATGTAGTATTTGTTAAAATATGGGAGATCTGTTAGTAAAGTAATTCTATGATCCGAAACCTATTGTCAAAGATGATAAAAACAGGCCAAGCCAGTATTTTCTGTATCTAATAGAGGTTGGCCAGCTAAAGATTGCGACCAGCAATTCTTCTTTGCAGACGCCAGATGGGACACCTCTTAGGCAGCTTCAACCAGTTCTGTGACTTATTTATTTCACAGAGCGTGTAGCCTTAAGACTTAAAGAATGTCTCGAGAGTGATATCAAGCAAAAACTTATGTGTTGTAGACTTGTAGTTCTAGTTTTGGGAAATTAGATGTCGGCGAGGAAGATTTGCTGAAACATATTGAATGTAGCAGTGTTCATTTACAATTTGAATGATCAAGGAATTTCGTAATTCAGTAAATATTTGTTTAAAAAATTCGGTTGGTAATAGCCTGTGTGCATGAAACTTTTTACTGTCAAAAGAGCTCTTGACTTATTGAAGTTAAATGAGTTTGCAACACCTTAATACATCTATAAACATTGTGAATAAGAAGGTTAGTAATAAAAGTTGCTCTGCTTCTCGATTGTGAGTGTTCGTCGTTATATTTCATCTCGTTATGCTTAGTCCTTTTCGCCTTGCTAGAACCCTACCTTTTTAGATTCTGGTTTGTCTATTAGTGAATGTTGGCGCTAGTCTCCTACTTCTCATGTCTCGAGACCTAATGTCTGTCGGTTTTATATATGCAGAAAGAATCACCACTAGGATTGGCCACTGAATCTGCTCACCCCGGTAAATTTATAATCTCTCTCTCTCCCTCTCCCTCTCCCTCTTCCTCTCCCGCTACTGCATGCTTGTGTATGGTGCCCATCTGGACAAAATTTGGTTGAAGTTGGAAAACGAGTATTTGAATTTGAAGTTGAAAAAGAGTATTTGGAAGTTCAATTGTGGCTTTATGCTGGTATCATATACCAGATGATGCCGATTCTTCTGTAACTGATCTTTAACTTCTCTATTTTGCAGCCCGGTTTTCACCAGATGATAAATATTCAAGGCAAAGAGTGCTTCTCAAGAAGCGTTTCGGCTTGCTTCCAACCCAAAAACCACCTCAAAAGTACTAGCAACCTTTTGCTACGACGACCTATTGTTCCTCAATCCTCAGTAAAAAATATAACTCTATCGCTAGTTAAAACCGTCGTTATGATTCGGATACTCTTCTTCTCTTTAAGATTGTAATCTTCTCTCAATCTATTAGTATTATTGAGTCTGAATCTGTTAGTTTGTTTGTCAAACCAAAAAAGGTAATAGATTGTGTAATGTTGCATCTCAATCTGGTGATTGACAAATCCTTGTCAACAAACAGAAGGTAGGCTGTTTTTTTTTTTCTTGTAATACTAAATTAAATATATTTCTTGTTATACTAAACTAATTTACGTGTCCTCTAAATTCCTATGTATTGTTCATGCATTTCACTGATTTTGCTCACATTGTGAAAGAGGAAAAATTTCAGAGAGTCATTTCATACTATGAAACAGGGAAAATGCACAAGTACCCTTGACCTATAGCCGGATTTACAACTACACACTTTATCTTTGCGGGAATCTTATTACCCTCATGAAGTTTTTTAAAAATGGAATTAGTATACCCTTAGTGCTGATGTGGCAGAAGAGAGTGTATGTAACTCTCTTTGGGAGAGTAAGAAATACTGAGAAAGTTGAAATTTTATTTTTATAATATTTTTATAAAATACTATTTTTCTATTTTTTTTTCCTCTTGTTTTTCTTTCTCTTTTCCTTTTCTTCCTCCAGCTTCTTTACTTATAGACTTGGACTTGGCCGGAAATTAGCTCCGGCATTCTCCATATTCTTCGGTGAGATCGAGTTTAGATTTTATTCTTTAAGTTTTATTTGTTGAAGCAAAATTTTGAAGAGAATGAGGAAGAAGAATTTGGTTGTTGATTGTTGATTACTAGAAAGTTTTCTAGGAGCTCACTGTTTTTGATCTGTCACCGGAAAAAAAATTTGCATCCAAAAAAGTGGAGTCTTTGAAATTCCAACCATCATTTTCAGCTCATATTCGTTTTTTTTCTTCTGCTCTTCCTCCCACACATAAATTATACTTTCAAGTAAAATTCATATATATATATATATGTGTGTCGCCGGAAATTTTTTTCGTGCCGGAAAAAATTTAGTCCTTGAAATTCTGATGACCACCATTTTATGCCGCCGGTGACCAAAACAAAAAGAAAGAGAATGAAAAAACAAAAAAAATGAGAACAATAATAGAATAATAAGAAATAAGAAAAAGAAGAAAGAATAAAAAAAAATACTGAATATACATGTGGCAGTGCGTGTAGTTCACAACTTGCCAATAGTTTACTTGCCAATAGTTTGGTTGTCTAGCTTTAGGCTGATATTTATTTTGTGTGATAAAAGTTCAGGGGGATAATAGGACTCCCGCAAAGATAAAGTGTGTAGTTAAAAATCCGAATATAAATCAGGGGGTACTTATGCATTTTCTATGAAATATTTGTTAAAAGATGGAAAGTTGAATTCATTACAAGATATAGAGGAGAGGGTAAAAAAGAAATAGGCATCAAACATATGAAATGTTTGTTAAATATTCATAAGTTGTTTCATATTACCGTTTTCTTAAGAGTTAATATCCTCAAACTCGCCTAAACTATACGATTTTTGTCAGTTTCGTACCTAAACTATTGAGTGTCCCTGGAAATTCCCTGAACTATATCTCCCTTCGTAATAACCTCCCCCCCTCCTCCCCGCGGTCGCATTAGCCCTAGTGCGTATGATACACGCTCTAAATAAATTATAAAACATGCCATGTGGCATGCCACGTGGATAATTAATCTAATTAATCATAAAATCGACTTAATTAGCCTAAAATAAGTTTATTACTCTCAGTCAAAAAAATTGGGTGGGTTTTTACTCGTTCCCTTCAGTAAAGACTCTCAGTCAAAAAAATATCCTTTTACTCTCATCAGAGAAAACTTTCATCGGACCTTCAACATCTCTTCTCCGATCATCTTCCTCCGATTTCTCTTCAAAACTAGTCGCTGCTACCATAGATTCCTCTTCAAAACTAGTTTCTGCTATTTCGAATTTGGAATAAAGGTGAAGTTTTGCTGGTGAATCGGAACAAAATTAGGGCTTAGGGTTTTGCTGGTGAAATATCTTCCTCCGATTCTTTGAAGAATCTAAAGATTATTAAAGAAGATTGCTTCAATACAGATTTTATTCTTTATTCCCTATTTATTTTGTCTCGAAATTATGATAGGTAGGTGCTGCGATTTAGTTCGTAGTACCAAAATTTGGGTCTTTTTTTTTTGAGGTGTTACATCTTCCTGCTTGTCGATGTTTGTTTGTCTAATATATAGTTGCATGCATGCATGCTGCTTGTTGTTAGTTTTGGATTTCAGGTCTTTATATGTTAGATTAATAAAATGCTATGTGTTTTTTGCCTTATCCTTTGCTATTTTTTATTGTTATTTTAGGGTAATGGCAGACAAATATCTGAATTTGAGATTTCATATTGGTGGTATGCTTGTGAGTGAGGTAGGGTCGGTTTATGTTAGGGGGAACATTGAATATGCCTTTAATGTGGATACGGACAAACTTTCTATTCCAGAAATTGTTGATTATGCCAAGGATTTTGGGTTTACCAATGTAGGAAAAATGTATATTGTATATTCTAAGGGTGACATTTTGGTAGAATTGAAAAATGATAGGGATTTGTTGGTACTTGCTGGGCTGTTGTCACGACCCGGATTTCCCACCATCAGAGTCGTGATGGCGCCTACTCGTGGTAGGTAGGCAAGCCAACTTAATTACCTTTCCATCACTAGCAATTATCTTTAGCAGTTTATAACATCAATATAGAACATAAAGTCTAATAAGAACAATAGCGGAAGTCTGTCTTAAAATGATGAATTTAAAGCGCGGAATAGTCAAAAACAACCTCTACCCAAGATTTGGTGTCACATTACTCACGAACCACTAAGAATAAACTAAATACAAAGGTATGAAAGAAATATAACAGCTGTCTGTCTCGAAACAATGAGGCAACAGTCAAAAGGAAAACATAAAGAAGAGACGCCGGGCCTGCGGACGCCTGCAAGGCTACCTCAGTCTCGTGATACGAAAGCCTGCTCCCGTACTACAGCTGCTGCTGCTCCTCAAAACCTGGACCTGTGCAAAAATGCACAGAAGTGTAGCATCAGCACAACCGACCCCATGTGCTGGTAAGTGTCTAGTCTAACCCCGGTGAAGTAGTGACGAGGCTAGACTGGACACCACATAAACCTGTGCAGTTATAGATATACAGCGGAAATCGAATACAAAGCAATAACCAACATGGGAGGGGAAACATGCTATGGGGAGTTACAATAATAACAATAATCCAGAGTAACAACTAAATCAACTTAGATTCACAGTGAACAAGGAATCAATACTCAAATGTAAACACATAGCCTCAATAATTGTTGCGGCGTGCAACCCGCTCCATAATTACCATTGTTGCGGCGTGCAACCCGCTCCACAATATCATTGTTGCCGCGTGCAACCCGACCCATATCATTTATCATGTATCATTGTTGCGGCGCGCAACCCGATCCTCATATGTTATTGTTGCGGCGTGCAACCCAATCCTCAATATCACTGTTGCGGCGCGCAACCCGATCCCCACATATTATTGTGCAGTCCGACTCCCCAAACAATAGTCACAATCAAGGGGCACAAAATAAGCAAATATTTGACAAACATCCCGGCAAGGGAAAGAATTCAACAAATACAACCAAACGTCCCGGCAAGGGAATAATCAACAACGCTTTCTTTTTCTTACTTTCCTTATCTTTTAATTCACTTTACTAATTTGAGCCAACGCTCCAAAGAATCAAGTCATTTCGTATACTTTCAATATTCATATCACAATTCGAGCCAATGCTCCCAGGAATCAAGTGATCATATTACCGTTCACATGTTATTCACACCAAATGGAAATCCTCCAATAAACACGGAGTTCACAACCAAGTCACAATAATCACATTATAAAGACTCACGGTCATGCTAGACACCAATGTATAGATACTCGTCACCATGCCTATACATTGTACTCGATCACATAGCAATTAGCAACAAGACTCAACTCCTATTCCCTCAAGCTAGGGTTAAACCAAACACTTACCCCGGTCCCAAGAATAGCAATCAACCTTCAAAGACCGCCTTTCCTCTACAATCCGACTCCGAAACAGTGATATCTAGGCATGATTAATTCAATAATATCAATAAAGACTCAATGGCAACATCCCATAGCCTAGATATGAATCTTCTAGCATTCTTCCAAAAATACCAAAATTAGACACCGGGCCCACATAGTCCAAACTCGAGGCTCGGACAAAAACCCGATCACCCATAACCCCACGAATCCAAATATGTAATTTGTTTGAAGATTCGACCCCAAATTGAGGTTGAACCACCCAAAAATCTCAAAACCCTAACTCTACCCAAAACCCATAATTTCTACTTTGATTTCATGATTTAGGGCTAGGATTTTGCTAAATGATGAAGGAAATTGAAGGAAACAAGTTAGATAATACTTACCCAAGGATATTTGGTGAAGAATCGCTCTACAAGTCGCCTAGGGGCTGTGGAGAAGAAGAGCTCGTGTATTTTTGTGATAGAACCCGTAGCTACTGTTTCTGTTCTTTTAAAAAAATTCGCTGGGCAAAATTGCCCTTCGCGTTCGCGGGAAAGGGGCCGCGTTCGCGAAGGGTAAACTGGGCAATACATCGCGAACGCGTGAAAGGGAACGCGAACGCGTAGAAGAAAATGCTGGGGGTCCAGGGACTGTTATACGCGAACGCGATAGGGGAATCGCGAACGCGATTTGTAACTACGCGAACGCATGAATATGTTCGCGAACGCGAAGGAGGAGGAACTGAAGCTATGCGATCGCGTGAGGGGTTTCGCGAACGCGTAGAAGGGGAACGCCAAAGCACTGCGAACGCGGGCCTGTGACCGCGTTCGCGAAGAACAAAATGACTGTGTAAAAATTGCAGCAAAAATCTGATCCTTCCTAAGTGCAAAAACATCCCGAACCACCTCCAATTCACTCCCGAGCCCTCGGGGCTCCTAACCAATCATACACACTAACTCAATAACATCCTACGAACTTACTCGAGCGATCAAATTGCCAAAATAACATCAAAATCATTGGATCAAGCCTCAAAATCATCATTTTCCTTTCAAACTTCATAAACTTCAAACTTTAGATATTTAGGTCCGAAACACGTCAAACAACGTCCGATTTCGACCAAACTTCACAGAAGGCGCTTAAACAATATATAAGACTTGTACCGGGCGTTGGAACCAAAATACGAGCCCGATACCACAGTCTTTTAATAAATTTTTATTTTCATTTTCCTT